GATAAGTGGGTCGTCATCGGGCGTACCGAAGATCACTATATCAGTTACTTGCGAAACAAGAATCATTGGTTCACAACCTAGATGGAATTGAACAACCCATCGGAACGGTTGTAGTGTCAACCGTACGGTTTGTCTTGACCGATTAGTTGCGCTAGTACATTTATGTATTGAACAGGATCCCAGAGAGGGATGTTCGTTTTATACTAATCGTCGTAAACGAACTAGGCATCAGTTAATTATTGCGTGCTCTTAACCCGTAAGATATTAAATAGGCATGTGCACATAATTGTTGTTGCTTTGATTCTTTGGGTGAGATCCAAGCCGGATCGACATACTTAATGAATTGGGTAATAACATTATGTGTTCGATGTGCTATTAGGATATTTACGGTCACCATGTGCGTTAGTGTGATGATGTCCCCGAAGTGAGTTCATGAAGGAATATTATGCTAAACCCTGCAGGTGGATTTATTCCGGCATAATATGAATGCTATGAGCGAGCGCTAGCTTCGGTAATATAATATATTAATTAATTCTTGATTATTAGTGATCGAATTAATTAATGGACATTATATCTTAAACATGGGGAGGTAAATCGGATAATTATAATAAGGAGTCTCAAATGTAATTTGGGATAGGTGAGGGGAGTGCAATAATATTATTGTGGTGGACTTTAATATTATTAATATATTAATTGTGGGGTTGCTCCACAGTATTAATATATTAGAAGCCCTTATCCTATTCTCCTTAGGGTCCCTACTGTAGCTCTATATATACAGCATTAGGCTCATGGAAGAGATGAGAATAATCCCATCAGCTCTATTTCGTCCGCCTCTCTCTCTTTCTCTCTCTTCCAAGGAGTTCTTCTATTTCTTGTGTTCCACTGATACAAGATCTAGAAAGCTGTTTGAGAATACAGTAGAAGATCTTAAGGTATATAGAGATTCCAATCATACATCCAAACCGGAGACCAAAACCAGCAAGTGACCATACCACGACGACCAGGACGACGAGACGAAGAGATCGCCGTCGAGATCGCCGCCGTCCGACGTGACACGCGCCCGCACGCGCCGCCGGGAGAGGACTGCTGCCGGAGATCACGCGCGCGCGTGAGAGAGCGTGGAGCCTCTGATTTCTGATCGGTCAACGCCGTTGACTTCGCCGTGACGTCAGCTTTCTGGATTGGTCAAGTTTGTTCGATTCCGAGAAGATTTGATTTGCGGTCAACTGTCCGGGCCAGCCAGATCTACATAAATTTTAAGCAGTAAGTTTTCTTCATCAAACCTTTAGATCCGCTGCGCATAGGTTTATGTTGAATGTTTGTCTGTGATTTGTGCATATCGAGATCCTCGTGGGTTCCAACAAAAAAAGGGCGAACCCCAGTTCTAGTTCATAACCGACACGGTGTTTGTTGTGTTTTTGTGTGTATTATGTGTTTTAGTTGAGTCTTTTTAGGTTCATTTTAGTGTTGATCGGTCCATTTTATCGGTGTTTTATGTATTTTTGTTCGTGTCGTGTGTTTTTGTATTTTGCTGTATTTTCTCGTTTATTTTGATGTTGATTAGGTCCACATTGTTCAAGTTTGAGGAGACGAGCCTTTCCGGAGAATTTTTTAGCCGTCTGAGCCATTATTCGAGCCATGCGAACCATTGTCGAGCCATCCCGAGTCAAGTCCGCGCGAGCCCTTGCCTTCCCGCACGCCAAGCGCACCCGCAGCGAAGCAGCATTTGCGAGCACGCGAGAAGCCCCGAGGTCGGCCACGCCAATCGCTGCGAAGCACCAGTCGCGCCCGCGTGAATGAAGGCGCGTGTTTCTTATGTTTTTTAGGTCGTTTTATTGTTCATCCGGTCCATTTTAGTTGTTTCGCGTGCTTTTATTTGTATTTGATGTTTTTGTGTTTTTGGCATACTTTTTCCGTGTATTTTATTGTTTTTGTAGGTCCATTTGTTCGAGTTTGAAAGAGGACGAATCGAGCCGAGTCCCGAGCACGCGAGTTGAAAAACTTAGCACATCATCTTTGTCTATTTCTGAGCATTTTTAGTACAAGTCCCCATGGAGTTCGAGAATAATGAAAGTGACACAGGAGATTTCTACCAATGCCCGACTTTGAGTGGTCACCAAGGTTCATGTGCGGTTTTCGGAGATTGGTCTGAGGCAAGACTCGCAATGTGTGCGCCCTGCGCGCCCCTATGCTCGCCCGGTTTCCATCGGGTGGACCGACACTCCAACCGGCTCAATAACACTTGCCCGGCATTTTGTCTGGTGGAACGTGGGCGAGTGCGTAGATTTTACACTCGCCCGGATTCCGTCAGGTGAAATATGGGCGAGTGCGTGCCTATGAGATTTTACACTCGCCCAGATTTTGCCGGGCGGAATTTGGGCGAGTGTGTTTACTAAATGCGTGTATTTTAGTGTGTGTTTGTGGTGTATCTATAAATAGACATATTGCTTTCTAATTTTAAACACAACCCCTCATTTCTCAACTTTTTAGCTGGGAATTTAGCTTTTTTTTTTTCTCTCATTTATTTTTATATTTTGGTTTAAGATTCAACACTTGACATTTTCCGGCAATTCTTTTGGCCACTTCACTTTCGTTCAAAATCCAATCATTACGCATTATTTTCGTCCAAGCTTGCGATAGGAAGGTAAGTACCTTGGTTAGGTCTTATTACTTCGAGTTTGTGTTTTTAGATTATTGTGTTGATGCTCGCTTCTTTGAATTTGCTTTATTTTCACTGCTTGTTCAAGTTTGTTAGGACTCGATTCATGCTTATCTTGTGTAAAGATCTCGACTTTGCTTAAAGCGTGATGATGAAGTTAACAAGACTCGTGTTACATTACTTAGAATCACTTTGCTCGCATGTTTTCTTTTCGTTATTTTCATTTTCGTCAAATTATGGAGGCTCCGTGCAATTAAAGATTTGAATCTTTTCTTCCAAATCTCTTATATTCCATCAATTGCTTTCAGTTTTAGCGCAAATTAGCTTAATTCCAATCTCATTCAAGCGAATAGCATGATTATGACCTTGTTTTCGGTTATGTGAATTGACTAGATAGAGGAAGCTCCGAACAACCTTCCTCAAGAGACACGACCCGAGGTCGGGATTTATTCCGCACTCGGCTAAAAAACTAGAAACAACGCACGACCCATACACCATGTTGTGCACTTGCCAGTGAACCGGCGCTCGCGTGCTAGCGAGAGAAAGCCCGAGGTGACCTGGGCACTTCCTGTGGTACCGCGTTCGCGACCCGACGAACGCCCCTGAGACCAGACCCTTAGCACTCGCTACGAACGGTCGTTTGGGACCCAACGAACTCAACCCTGCCAGCCCCTATGCACACTTCACACTTGCTGCGAAACCGATTTTGAGACCTGGCAAACTGAATAATTTCATTAAATGTGCGTGTTTTAGTGTATTTTTAGTGTAGTTATATATATACATCTTGCTTTGTATTTTTGAATAACCACCCCTCATTTCTCAACTTTTTAGTTGGGAAATTAGCTCTTTTTCTCTCTTTTATTTTTATGCTTTGGTTTGAAGGTTCGAGATTTGACATTTTCCGGCGACTTTATTTTTATCCAAGATTTGAGCTCTACACGTCATTTTTGTCCGAGCTTGCGATAGGAGAGTAAGTACCTTGATTAAGACTTGTTACTTCGAGTTTGTTTCCTTCTTGCTTGTTAAGTTGGTTTATTGGTCGGAATCTTGTGTGATGCTCAATTTTGGGACCTTGTTTTATTTTTCTTGCTTGCTTAAGTGCGTTAGGAGTCTATATGTAGTTATCTTGTGTAAAACTCTCGACTTTGCTCAAAGCGTGATGGTGTAGAAGGCTTGTGTTAGATTACCTAGGATCATTTTGGTCGCATGTTTTTTTGTTTATTTTCGTTTTCTTAAGTTATGAAGACTCTGTGCAAGCAAAGTTCTATTCTTTTCTCTAAAGCTTGCATCTTTCATCCTTTGCTTTTAATTTCTCAGCTTAATTGGTTCAATTCAAACCCAAATCAAGCAATAACATGTTTAGGACCTTATATTCAATTTTGTGAATTAACGAGTAGATAGTAAACGAAACTCCGAACAATCTTCTTTCGAGAAGACGACCCGAGTGAGATTTTTTTTTCGTACTCGGCTAAAAACAACAAACACCTCGTCTTTTCATATCTTATCACTCCTGTGTCTTGGACTCTGGGTTACCCAACCTACGCGTCCTGCTTGGTTCTCTCTTCAATAATTGGATGTATTTATTTTTCGGGTCGATTTTTCATTCTTGGTTGTTTGTTCTGGGTACTTTCTTCGATTCCTTCTTCATTAATCAATCACACTTGATTTCGAGCCCACCTAGCTCAGCTCGGATGTCAATAGTATGTTTGCATGCGAATACTAAAACTATTTTTTGCTAATAACATTATTACATTGCGAGTCGGTTCAAATAAGAATCAAATCTTAATATAAGAAATGTGATAAATGGTATTTTCAGTTAGTTATGTACAATGCTAGGTTTTTTTTATTATTTTTAATAAAAAATATTTTTAAAAACATCAAATATATAATAGTGTCTCTATAAATGATAGACACCATATATAACATAGGATATTTTACATATTTATTTATTTTATTTTATTTTACAAAAATATGACATTCAAAATAAAACCATGCCTAAGCCATTTAAACTTGATGTAAAACAAACAATCAACCGCACCTAAACTATTAAAGTTGGTATGGTATTGCTATTAAACTAAAAAGTCTTTCAATATAATAATAAAATGAGATTAATTTGGAAGTAAATGGTATAATTTTCTTAATCACACACACATTTTGTTTAGACATTATAAGTATCATAGTTTATGATCTGAGGCGCTCTTTAATTTCAACCCCTGTTTCGTTTTCTTGAAATAACTTTACAGCTCCGAATCCATATATATTCAACGGCCAGGCGAGCCGGAGAACACACCGGCACCACCACAGGCTCGGATCTGACAAAATAAAACTATAAAAAGTTCACTCAATTCAGACAGCTCGAGGGCTCAACCGAGCCATAAACCGAGCCAGCTGCATTGACACACTGAGCCTGAGATGGCCGGTTTTGGTAGCTCAACTTCACTTTCTCCATCTTTATTCCTTTACACGGGAACCCGTTACTACAGTCAAATTTCACGGCCACTTGTGTTGCCGACGTGCCTTGTATGTCTTGATACATCACGTCGCTGATTTCAACTCCCGAGACCTATTGGGAAAGTAAAAATAATTCAAAATTTAATGCAAATATCTTCAATAGACATGACTCTGACTCAGCTCGACTCGACTCATTTGCAGTCGAGCAGGAGAAAAATGTGTACCTCTCCAGGACAATCTTTTTCATGCGGGCAGTAGTTTTGGTCGATCACAATTGGGTTTTCTACATTACACATGATGGCGTGCCGGAAAACGATGCCGCTCACAAACCCTTTGCTCGGCCTAGCCCACGTCTTTATCCTCACGCCGTTTCGCGTGTTGTCGAACGATACGCTCTGAACTGTCACGTTACGCACGCCCGGCTCCTCGTAATCTTTACCCAAGCTCCCAATGCTACAACATTTCTTATACCAATTTAATCTCAATTGTAAAAATCGAAATGCCGACGAACAGAACGTTGACGAGAAAAGCTCGTTTGTTACGTAGTCGAGCCGAGTTTTAACAGAAAATTAGGCACGTCACATTTAATGATCGAACGAACAAGTGCTCGCTCTGGTTCGCAAACATTAATTTAATTAAATTTTATTTTATTTTTGTATATTTACGTAATATTTTAATAAAAAATCTAAAACATAAAAATATTTTTATTCAATTTTTTTTATTTTCGAGCTCGAACTACACAAACAAACTAAAAATTTCAAAAAGTTTGTTTCTTAAATTATTCGAAATCAAACGAACTCAAACATTTACAAATAGTTAAAAAGGCGAGCATTTTTTTGTTCGAAAAATAAACGGACGAACTGAAAATTTGAAAAGTCCGTTTCCTAAAACGCAAACGAACTCAAACTTTGATGAAATAAAAATTTAAACGAGCGAACCATTTTTTGCTCGAAAAATAAACGAACTAAGACGAACCGTGTGTTCAACCATAAACGAACACGAGCTCAAAATGTCCAAGCTCAGCTCGTTCGGTTAAATTACAGTGCACTACCAAAAATCAGCAATTTTTCATTCGTTTACCTTATGCCGTGGCCGGGGCCGCATGACACGTTCTCGATCCAAAGGTCGGTGGTGCCGGGCCCGACCGACACGCAGTCGTCGCCGGTCCCGATTACGGAGTCGGTGATTGCCACGTCAGATGAGCGCTGGACGTGGATGCCGTCGGTGTTGGGGCTGTCTCCGGGAGCCGAGACGGTCACATTCCGAAGCCTGACGTCACGGCAGCCGTTGATGACGATGTGGTATATCTGGCTGTTGATGGATGTGAGTCCGGTGATGGCCACGTTGTTGGAGTTGGAAATTCCCAGTGTCTGCATGCACATTAATGTTCAATATCAAATTATTATTACCATAATTTATTTTATTGATATTATATTGTGAAATTTGTAGGTTTTAATTTATATAGATTTAATTTATGCTTACGTCTTACGTGTTATGGTCAC